GTCCCGTGTACGCGGGAGCGTGTGCTGAGTGTGTCCCGTGTACGCGGGAGCGTGTGCTGAGTGTGTCCCATGTGGTGAACGTGTCCGTGTACAGGGTAGTGGTGTCTGTATGTGCGTGCACTCTGGGACTGAAACACAAAGCCAATGAGGGAAAAGGTCAAATGAGAGTTTTAGAAAATCAAGAGGAATTGAGTGAAGCTGACTTCTCCACTGTCGGTCCCTTGTGCTGCACCTTCTGAGGATCCTGACCTTTATAGTACAGTCTTATAGTCACGAGCAGCTTTCTTCCATTTCTGTTGAATGGCCGCAGTTCATAGATCAGCTGCTTCAAAAAGGCCCTGTAGGCATCAGAATGCAACTTGTTTTTTTTTGCTGCATTCACTCTGAAACAGTCAGACACACACCAGATGGTCTTTATTTGAATGTTCTCACAAGTTGATTGTAATCTGATGCTGACGCTAGACTGATTGCTTGGAGCATGCCGAGTATAGATTCCATTCAGCAGTGGTTCAAGAAGGTAGCTCACCACCACCTTCTCAAGGGCAACTAAGAATGGGCAATAAATGCTGACCCAAACAGTGGCAGCCATATCCCATGGATCAATTTTTAAAATGGTCAGCTATAGAGACTGCTTGAACAAAAACAAAGATGCTGGAAAAGCTCAGCAGGTCTGGCAGCATCTGTAAAAGGAAAAACAGAGTTAACGTTTCAGGTTCGGTGACCCTTCCTCAGAACGGGTTGACCTGCCAGACCTGCTGAGCTTTTCCAGCAACTTTGTTTTTGTTCCTGATTTACAGCATCCTCAGTTCTTTTGGCTTTTATAGGGACTGCTTGCTTTTGTCTCTGCTGTTACTGACAGGGTTAAATCTCTAAAGACATTAAAAATCTACAGAACTTACACAATCTCAGTGCATTTCGAAGAGAGAGATGTGGCATGGAGATGAGATAAATGAGAGGGGATAGAGATTAGAAGGCAGAGAAAGTGAAATACAGAAAGGAAGAGAGAGTGAGACAGATGGTGCAAGGATATGGTAGAGACTGACAGAGGGAGAAGACAGAGGGAGAAGCCAGAGGGCTGGGCTTTGGAAATGGAGTCAGGCCATTTTCACTGTTCGGAAATCTGAGCCTGTACATCTTTGTGTCTCATGAAAATGTGAGCAGGCAGCGTTGATGATTTCTGTACCCTTGGGCAGTGCTGGTGGAGTGTGGGTGCTGAGATGGGCAAATTAAGAGACCAGCCTGTTTGCTGGGACCTGGGTCCTGTTCTCCAATGTGGTTCTTATGCCCCTTAACCATCCCCAAAACTCTCACCCCATGCCAAACTTCCTACTCCGCACTCATATTCCATGCACCTCATATTCCCCAAAATATGTGCCATTTGGTCCAGACTCAGGATTTTGTGTCCTACTGAAGTGACAGCAAAGAGTGAAGTAATCCTTCCTGAGGGAGTTGGGAATTAAACTACTTCTTGTGGCTGAGTCCAGGAGAATAGAGGAACCGACGTACAAAGACAATTGCCTGGTAATTCATAGATTCATACAGCACAGATTTGACCCTTAGGCCCATTGAGTCCGCACCAATATAACTACCACTAAAAGTGCACTAATCCCAATTTCCTGCACTTGTCCCAAATCCTTGAAATGCAATAGAAGCATTGTCATTCCTAATTGCTTCTCTGTTGCTGAAATTTCCTTTATTTTGTGCCTTGGAAACACTCAGAAGGATGTGGGGTCAATCCACAGTGTTTTATCTGTTTAATGGATGCACATTCAATTCCATGTTAATGCCCAGAGTCAAAATTGGAAGCCAGGCCACCCTGAAGCAGAGATGACACCTTGTACATTCAAGCTGTTGTTCCAGGTTCTCTCCCTCCCTTATTCCCCTCACTATATATTATCCATCATCACTTACCCTATTAGCAAACTTAAGGTATCTTTGAAATAAGAACATAAGAAATAGGAGTAGGTGAAGGTCATCTGGCCCCTTTAGCGTGCTCTACCATTTAATAAGATCATGGTTAATCTTTTCAAGACTCAGCTCCACTTATCCACCCACTCACCATAACCCTTAATTCCTTTACTGAACAAAAATCTATGTATCTTTGCCTTAAAAACATTCAACAAGGAAGCCTCAACTGCTTCACTGGGCAGGGAATTCCACAGATTCACAATCCCTTGGGTGAATAAGTTCCTCACAACTCAGTCCTGACATTATGGACATTAAAAGTAAATGGACATTAAAATTAAACTGCTAGCAATCTAATGGAGTGTCATAATCAAAGATATTTTAAATGTTTCTCCAGAAAAACCCATGAACAATGTAAATCCCCTCAGGTGTCAAAACAAATCCTTAACCACCTACAGCATCAAAAACAGATGACCTTTTAATAAATTCCTAAAATTGTTAATCAAAATGTGAGCACAGCTGTCTGGTAAGATAGGTAGCACAGGATTTTTTTGGAAGTCAGCCAATGATTGAAAATAGCCCAAAGTTATCAAAACAATATTCAGGAAATGTCGACAATGCAGCCTGTAGAAACTGAAACACCGGACGGCCTTTTTACAAAGATGTAAACGGTATTAATTTCCGTTATATCTGATTACCAATCAATAAAGTGTAGCAGGTCTCAGTTTATTTTAAGATCAACTGCAGGACCATTTTCTTTCAAAACAAAGATTGCTAGATATTTAAATCACAGTCCAAAACATGACGTGAGATTTTCCCAGTCCATTTTTCTATGGTTTTGAAGGATTTGAACTATTATAATGAATACGTACACAATGACAGCTAATGTAACAGTCAATTTAGTTTTGCAAGACAGAACCCTAAACTCAATCATTGCACTGAAAACACATCCACTTTATAGTACAGGATTTAATTGTGACATTGAATGTTGTTAAAATATTTAACACTGTCTCTCCTGTGAGAATATTCAGGTATCTTCAGTCGGCCTCCCCCACTGGCCATGAACTTGCAAACCTGGTGATTTTTTTTTTGTTTAGCGCCAGAGCTTATAAAACCTACACAAGGACAAGGAAATATCATCAAGCAGGAAATGATCATTTCCTACAGATCGCACAATGGTGATCTCAACCTCAGAAGAGGTGCATGAGATGTTTGCACTCTGCACTTTTCTGACCTGTAAACAGGCCTCGCTAAATGACATGGGATTGGGAAAGAATTAGAATTTGCAGTTAGGAGTCCTGTAGGTTTGACATTCCTAAATCCATTTCTATCTTCACTGAGAGACAAAATTCTGGCCCAAGAGGAAAATAAACAGCTAGATAGGTTGACAAGCAGGAGAGAATCGTGCTGTAACACTTTCTGTCAACATCTGTATTTCTCTCTCTATCTCCCTATTGTCACTGTTTCCACGCCTGTATGTCCTCTGCTATTGCACTGGGCTAGTGCACTTGAAAGCTAGCCTTGCTTTTCATGTAGTCATCACAAACGTTACATGTTTTTATCAAAGTATGCAAAGTTCCCAGTTTATCTCTCAGAAAAACACAGCTGAACAGCAAAGTGGGACCAGGTTTCTGTCATTAACAAGAGCTACTGTTTATTACAAATGAATAGATTCGAACCACTTGTTAAAAAGACCTAAGTACTATCAACATATAACTCTATTAGTTAAAACTCTAATCCCTTTCTAATGCCTTCCTTTATATACATACAGACATAAAGAATTTGTGTTTTGGGTGGAGAGGAAAAAGCACTGGGGAAGCAGTTCAATGGCTCCAGTCTACAGTGTTTACTGAGATGGTCCTTTTGCTGGCCAGAATTTTCTGTTCCTCAATCTCTTTTCTCCAGGTTCTTTTCACTTCTTCAGAAGAGCCACAGGCAGTTACTGCACTAACTGCAAAGTCTCTTAGTTACTGGTTAAAGGCTGCAGCTTTCAGCAACTGAGAGCAGACAATAAATGTATGGTCATCAGGTTTAGGTATTTTATGGAAAGAAATATAGACACCATGTGGGCTTTCAACAGTCCGACGGCTTCTGCCAGTATCATTCACACCCACAAGCTGTTCAGCAACACAGGGGCTAATCTCTCCCTCTTTGTCACTGTCGGTGTCTCTTTCCACCTGGTCTCTCCGTCTCTCTCTGTCATACATAACATGGTATGCTATCAGTTCAATTTCCAGGACCCCTGTGAGGTGGCTGTTTGAGTTTTAGACTGTGCTATTGTGACATGACCTCCTTTATTCCCATAATAATTTGCTGATGCTTTGTGTCAATGATGAGCTGATGACTTAAACACTGTCTGATGGTGCCTGCTGTTTTCCATGTTTTTTGCTAGCTTGTTTTTAACCAATAACCATTTCCCATGACCAGGGAGCGACTGTTTCACATCGGGAGTACACCGAAAGTCGTCCTGTCACGTGGACTGGAACTGGATTCGCAAAGGTTCCAGAAAGGGGCGTGTTGCAATTCCACATTAACAACATTCCGTATTCAATGGAATATGATTTGGTAATCCGCTATGAACCACAGGTAATTAAAGGGGAAGTTGTATTATATCAACAAACATGGAGTGGATTCCTGACACAGGTAGGTAGTTCCTTGAACTTGATAGGCCATTTCAGTTAAGAGTCAACCACATTACTGTGGGTCTGGAGTCATGTGTAGGCCAGGGCAGGTGGGGATGGCAGCTTTCCTTCCCTCAAGGACATTAGTGAGCCAGATGGATTTTCCTGAAAATTGACAATGGTTTCACAGTCCTCAGCAGATTCTTAATTCCAGACTTCTTTTTAATTTGGATTCAAATTCCACCATTTGCCTCGGCAGGATTCAAACTCAGGTCCCCAGAACATTAGCTGAGTTTGTGGATTAATAGTCTAGACACTACCACTAGGTCATTGCTTCGTTCGGAAGACTGCAAGAGATATTACAGACTAGTCCAACCCTGTGAGTGCCAGTAGGACACAGACAAACACACAGGCCCTTTGCAACGAAGGTCAGTTAGTGGAGCTCAGACTAGGAAACGTGGCTGGGGAATAAAACTGCATGATAAAGGATTTCAACTCCCACTGTAGCAGAGAGCTGTGAAGGGCCTTGTGCAGAAAGCTCAGTGCAACAGCACACACTTTGAAACATGTGTATCCTACTTTTCAAGTAACATCCACCATTTCAGTTATTATATTCACTGAGAATTTTTGCTAGAAGATTATGTTGTGATTATCTCCCAAACATTCTTCGCCTTGAAAATTATGCCAGATTAATATTTCTGTTTAGGTTTCTAAAAGATTGTTAGTATCCTAGGACATTCTAGGGCTCCCGTAGTGGGATTGGAAGGTGAGGGCCTAGGCACAGGTAGAATTCACATATACAGAGAGAATCCACAGTGTCGTGGGTTGGTACTCCTGTCTCTGAGCTAGAGTTTGACTCCCATGACAGGAATTCCAGGCTGAGGAAGACGCATCCGTAATCAACTTTTCAATCCTTCCAACATACGCCAATGGCAGGTGGTAAGAGTAAAGACAGTCTTTGTCAACCACATCAGGGAGAGAAATTGGATCCCCTACAATCACTGTCCATAGCTCCAGACAGCAACATGCGGGTAAAGGTAGGTGTGTGTTGCCACAACAACTTAGTGTGCTTGGGAAGGATTGGCCAGTTTGCGCAGTCAATGTGGGTCAGATTGGTGCCAACAGCACAGGTTTTGATCCCTTTTCCAGCTGGGAAGGATTGAGGGCATGACCCCCTCACCTTACCCTTGCCCGTGGTGGAGGTGATGGAATTTTGAGTCAGACGTGCTTTTAGGGAGACAACTCAGGAAGAGGAAGATACCATACAGTTTAAAGCTCACTCTACACGGTCTCCAAAAAACACTCCCAGGACAGGAATAGCACAGGGTTAGATACAGAGTAAAGCTCCCTCTACACTGTCCCCATCAAACACTCCCAGGACGGGGATAGCACAGGGTTAGATACAGAGTAA